TGGGTGGAAGAAACCGCGACATTAGACGGCCCGCAACCGACACGGTCAGTTGAAAGTGCACCTCCAACACCTCGATAATGTCACAGTTAAGCCCTCGCGTGAGTGACCTGTCAGTTAACTAGGCTCCACTCTTTTACCTGGAATCAGACGTCAGCCACTTGGATGTCGCAACTTGCACTTTTAACTGTTTGAAGATCCGCGGCAGCGGACCCGGAAGGTCCGACGTATCCTCTCCTGCAGCGACGGAGAACGAATACCAACGGTCCAGGAACTAGTTAGACTTGGGAATTGTTGAGCCGGTACGAATTTAAACCAAGCGTATACAGCATTTAAGGGTGATACTATTGCAAATACAATTCAGCGACGGTTGCGCTGAACCATAGAGAGGAAGAACAATAGACATTCTGACATTTTTGGACAATGTTTCTCACCATCTAATGTCCATCGACACTAATTTGATTAAATATTACACGCCATATAGCGTATATTCGAAATATTCATAAAGGTTAAATAAATAGAAGAAATAGTTTCAATATACAATAAATAATAATCCGGTTTTGATGTCTACAGATCCGGTTTTGATTTCAACAGATACGGTTTCGGAGGAAAAAAAACCGGTAGAGAGGAAGTACAATAGAGCTTAACTCGCCTTCCTCAGTCCCACTAAAAGCCTTGCCATAAACGGGACAATGGACGCTTTACCTTTGTACGCAAAACAAAATTGTACTTATGAATTCACTTTCACTTGCAGACGCAAGTACACAAGGCGTTCCCAAAGGTAATTGGAAGCCAAGGCCACTGAGCATTTATCTAACTGGCCTTTTAAGCAAGAAAATAAAGTATCACGGTCCTCGATTAACAAATATCTAATTGACGGTGGTCACTCTGTTGACCTCAAAACATATTTCAGAGTACGTGCTCGGACACGAACAAATCGGACCTTGCGCTACATGCGAGCAGTATACATAGGGCGGGGTAATCCCAACCTATGTAAGCAGTTAGATCATGTGGCTAACCTCCAACTGCCCTTGTAATCGCAGGCGTAGATTTAATCACACTTTGATTTTTGTCAACTCCCTTACCCACTTTCCTTCTTGTATTTTCCTGGTGATGTTGTTGCATCGGGTGCAGACTGTCTTATGTCAGGCATACTCGGTATACTTCAGTTAACTTAGGGCCCTCAAGAAGTGATGGCCAAACACTCCACATGAACCAATGTCCACAGCGGATATTCTCACAGAACCTTAGACGGTACAGAGTGAAGTAAGACATGATTAATTATTGGATAGGTAAATTTTCCAGGGTCTTAATCCCAATTCTAACAACAACACGGACCAAAATGATCCTGGAACTTAGCGCAGGTCACCGGGAATCAGAGAGAAGGTACTTTTTATTCCAATGTTCCCAATTGCCAAAAGTCTGCGAACGGTATAAAGTCCCGAGGCTACTTCTTCCTTACTCTGTTCATTCGGAAGCAGCCAAGAGGTATTTTAAACTACCTACTCTCATAGAGAAGACTCGATTTCCCCTCTACTCTACGTCCAACCGACTGCGCTGGAAGGCGACAACTCGCTTCCCAGTTAGCATGGAACCTGCTGAATGAGACAGCGGAAAATAATTAAATGTTAGGCGACAAAAAAGCGCATCACAAATAAAATGTGCAACTAAGCAAAAGATCGGGAGCTGCTTAAATTTTCGGAACAACACAAAGAACCACAAATTTCCGAGAAAGAAAATAACGTGAAGTAAATATAAAATAAAAATCCCTTGTCACTAAAACATCTTGAACTAAACCTAAACTAAAGTAAACTAACGACAGGAAGCTAAACTAACTAAACTAAGAACTAACTCACTGAAACTAAAGTCAGCTAACTAAAGAAAGGTTAACTAACAAAATCTTAAAACTGAACTTAAAAGTAAACTAAAATCTAATGAAACTAATTAAACAAAGGTAAACTAAAATGAACTGGACTAACTAAACTAAAAAGAGATCTAAAAAAAAA